ACAACACCCCCCCCCCCCCCTTCACATCAGAGTCACCCTTTGCATTATTTCCCCCCCTTTACATCAGGAGCCCCCTTCACATCAGTCTTCTTTACCCATTCATTATCACAGTCTCACTAGCACAACATTTTGTGTCACCCCTAAAGGTGCCCAAACACTGTGCGATTATCGCGGGAAATCCCGCGATCGTATGATAATCGCAAAGTGTATAGCAGACGTGCGACCGTCTTTACTGTACGGTCGCACGTCTTTTGTCTAAGGAGCATGTTTGAAAACCAGCCGGAAACCTTACGATTTTCGGCTGGTTTGTGGCATGATCGGGAGACAAATGCCGAACGGGCCGGTGTGCGCACGCGCACACTGCCCGTTCAGCATTGCGGTCATCGCAAGTACGATCTGCCTGTCCAAGATGGGCAGATCGTACGTTTTTAAAAATACTTACAACCATCGCAAGACTAAGGTCTTGCGATGGTTGTAAAGTGTATGGGCACCTTAAGGAAGCCAGAAGGCACACCTGGTTGAAAAACGCTGCACTAGTCATTGCATGCTAAATCTGTGGGAAAATAAGGGATTTTTTTAGTTTATTAACTAAATAGTGTTTGCAGGTTTCACTCATTCATAGTAACATAGTTGTTAAGGTTGAATAAAGACACAGGTCCATCGAGTTCAACCTATGTGGGTGTGGGTGTGTGTGTGTGTGTGTGTGTTTGAGTTACTAAGATTACCTGTACCTTTTTCATCTTGAATGATTCCATACTCTCATCTGAAACCACTGCCTGTGGGAAAGGAGCTTCACAATTTTACAGCTCTACAGCAGTAAAGAATCCCTTTATGAGTAAAGAGTTTCTTTTCCAGTTTGAGATTGTGGCTTCTTGTCTTCCTCAGTGAACTAACAGTAAACCATTTATTACTTTATATATATATAGGATTTAAAAATTCATTATTTTAAAATATTTTATTTTTGTTTATTTATCTTTTATAAAAACTTTTTTTTTTTATCCCAGTTGTGCTCCAGTCCTATCACGGAAACACTGCTGGACAATGTAAAACAGCTTACTTCCTGCTTTTGGCATATAAAATGCTCATGATGTGACTTTTACACCCCACATTTTTTTTTTCTACCCAGTGAACAGATTCTTGATTCAGGTGTGAAGATCGGGTATGGATGTGTGTTTTAATAATACATGAAATTTTTCTCTTGTAAAATTCCAGACATGAAATCACCTGAAATTTATATGCATAATAGAACCTTATTATCGGACCCACTAAAAACACAGAAAATTACGCTTTTAGCACGTACAATGTTACACTTCAGCTTTATGCACCCTTTATGTGATAAGTGAGTCAGCTGTTGATCACAATAGCATTCTTAAAATGTTCAGGAGAGCGGCAAAAACAATGAGGGAGGACAAATCCTTTAAGGTGCCCATACACCTTACAATTTATCTGCAGATTTTCTGTGGTCAGATGAGAAAAAGTGCAACAGATTGGCCCAGGTGGAGATTACTCCATCCACACAGTTAAGTGTAGATGGAGGAATCTGTTGCACCTTTTCCATCTGACCACAGAAAACCTGCAGATAAATTGTAAGGTGTGTGGGCAGCTTTAGGGTCCCCACACACCTTACGATTATCGTACGAGAATCGCGGGAAATCCCACGATCGTACGATGATCGTAAGGTGTGTGGAAGCCGTGCGACCTCTACTACTGTAAGGTCGCACGACTTTAAACTTACGGACATGTTCGAAAACCCACCGAGCATCGTACGGTGTTCGGCGGGTTTGTGGCATGTCCGTACGATAACAGTCGCACGCACCGGTGTGCGCAAGCGCACACTGCCCGTTCAGCATTGCGGTCATCGGAAGCCCGCCCCTCAGGGGGCGTGGCTTGCGATCATCGCAAGTACGATCTGCCTATGCAACATAGGCAGATCGTACGTTTTTTTAAGTACCTTACAACCATCGCAAGACAGAAGTCTTGCGATGGTTGTAAGGTGTGTGCCCAGCCTTAGAAAGACACATTTATTAAACATGCATTTATAGAAAGGAGTGAACTACAGATGTAGAGCAATGTGTCTACCTGCAGGCTACTGTCCCTAGCTTAGATGTTTTCCTCCACAAAAAAACAGAGCACAATACTACTGAAGGCACTTATGTCTGTTCTGCCAAAAAAAATAAAAAAATTACATTTTTTGCATGAGCTGGGCTAGCATTGATTTTATCACATGATACAATCCATGTATCATATACATGCTATACATCCCCTGGGTGTTTCTACATATCCATAGTTCTTTTTGTAGATTTCAAACTATAAATAAAACTATCAGGTGATCCTCAAAACTTTATGATTTGCTATAATATAAACACTCATAAATGAAAAGCTAATGGACTGCTTGCTAGTGTCTAGATGTGCAAGCTATTTCATTAAAGGAGATGCTTACCTTAAGATAAATATTTTCATTTGATGCTCCTTGAAATGTGCCCCAGGTGAGATAAAGCACAGGTCCAAGTGGCTGGTCAATGGAGCTGCCAGAGGGGTCCTATGTATGGAATCCAGAAACAAGATCACAGGTATCTGTACATATGAGCAGATACATCAGGACTGGCTGCTCTGCTTCAAGCGTTGAGAGGAGGATGCTGTGTGTGTCTCAGCGACTTGTTGCGCTCTTCTACACTGTGAAATCATCAGCAAAGGAGAATCCTCTATCCATCAATACAGGGATCAGAAGGATAAGGCATTGAAAAACAACAGAGAAAGGTATTAACTGGGTCCTGTAAAGGAAGGAAAAGAAGGCACATTCATTTTATTCTCCTTTACATCCCAGATCTGTATGTGCAGAAGATGGTGATGAAAAAGACACTTTAAAGTGGAATTAAACTAAGAAACCAAACCTTCGGCAGGCTTTTTATGATAGAGGAGACTCTCTAAGCGTCTTCTGTTTAAAAAGCTTCTTGATGCCATTCAGCAGTTTTCTTTTTTTCTGTACCCTGAGCCGTGCATGTGCAGCCCAGACCCAATGCACAGACCCGGCATGCTGAGATAAAGTAACCCCCGTGCACATGCGCAGGAGTTACGTCATGGGTAGGGGCAGTCAATTTAACGGCCAAAGAATCGAAACCTACAAGATGACTGAGCCGAAGATGCAAATGAGATGGAAGAGAACAGTGATGGAGGAAGTCTGTCATAATGTACTATTTACTGTGTGTACTAGAACAATATGGCTCAAAGCTCTAGGGGCTTCTTTTTATTTTTCGAAAAAAGCTTTACTTCCACTTTAAAGCTGAATTCCAGGCAAACGGTTAAAGTGGACCTTTCCTATAAATCACAGCAGCATGATATAAAATCATCTTACATTCATTAGTTAAAGGAGAACTATTGGTTTAAGGCTTTTCCCCATAGTTCTCCTTAGGGTAACGGGAGGACACAAACTAGCGTCCTCCCGTCACCCTAGGCTCAGTATACCGCACTCACCTCATAGTTCTCCTTTAAACAAACTTGTTTTTCATTTACTTACAAATAGAGTTCATCTACTTCCTGGTCCAGTTCTGGCACAAATGATGTAATGTGCTTGAGTGTTGCATCCTGGGAAGATTACATCAGCAGAGCATTGCTGGGAAATTTCATCTGTAATCTTATGAGATCTCAGGGAAAGGCATTTTCCTCCCTTGAAATGATCTGCATGGTCACATGTCCTAGTCACATGTGCCAGATTTTCAGGAAGTAAAGGGAGAGCTAGTAACCTGCCACTCCCAGAAGACTGGGAAATAAAAGAGAAATAAGGTATGCAAAGAATACAAAGCCAGCCAGTGTTTGTAAATTGTCATTACTAAAGATTTCTAAATTGATTTGAAAAGACAGTGACCTGGATCAAGGCTTAGGATGCCAACACCCCTGAGAGTCGTATATCGAAAAGTCAGAAAAGTTGGGGTTTTTTAGGCAGCCGACTGACAACTTGCACACCAAGAATTTCTTGAAAAAGTATATTTTAATTGATTAAAAAGCAAATAGAATTGATAAAATTGACAACATGATTCCCCTATAAACTCACTCCACATTGATTAAATTCATTCATATGTAGATGACAATCAGAATTCTTGTGCAATTGAACATGATTGAAAAAGCATGATTGAAAAGTTCATAATTACATAACATGATTTATATAATGGAAGATGATGGAGGAGCTTGATTTTCTCAACGTTTCGCACTAGATAGCGCTTCTTCAGGAGATGAAGAGGGAAGTTGTCCTTGGAGTCTGTGTGCATCCCAGTCGTTCACCCTGGCTCAGACCGTGAAGGAATAAAAGCAAATGGCAAGGAGGGGAGAAAGAGGAGAGAGAAAATGAAAAGAGGCCCAAGACCCCAGTAGAGGCAGACCCAATCGGGAGATGGCGGGGGTACCACTCCTCGCAAAAAATTGGGAGTAGATAACAAAACGTTGACAGTCAGCGTAGTAAGGTAACCGTTCCTCTCTCTCGATATCGTGCCCCCAGCAGCTAATACAGCCCTGCAGGCTGTATTTTCTGACTTTTCTGACTTTTCTGACTTTTCGATATAAAGATTTCTAAAGGTGTGTTTGTTGTTATTTTAAAGATATGGGTAAAGTCCCTCTTTAATAGACAGCACAGACAAGCCAGTGACCTTAATTTTACCTACTGCAGTTAAGCAACACAGCTACACCTCCATGCCCCCAGCTTGTGGTTGGACAGTGGAGGAGCAGCAACAGAATGATGAGGTAGTCTCTCTGCTGTCTGCTCCTGTCAACTTGTTCCTTCTCAGGACATGACATACAGGCAGCAACTGTGATCTTCCTTTCTTTCTTTTCCTTCCTCCCTTCCATTCCAATGACTATCCTAAACATGGCTTAAATTAACCAGACCCTTAGTCAGGCATGGAGCTTAGGTGGCCAGGAGAGGGAGGGCAACAAGTATGCTCTCCCCACCTTCTGCAACCAAACCAGACAACTTTCCTTTCAACATTGGGGGGTACCATGCAAGGGAGGGTGTTGCCAAAGCCATGTTAAGGGGAGAAAGGCTTCATCCCTACATTTGGTACCCAAGGGGATGTGGGGGGTTTTGGGAATGGGATGACCTGAAAACTTCCTTTTAAATAAGTAGAAAAAGTACTGTGCAGTGGTACCAAGTGGTGTATTTTGGTTTTGTGCTGCCCTAGGCAAGACTAAACTTGCGCATCCCCCAATCTAAATTTGCCCAACCCCTTCCTGTTTAAGACATTTTGCGTAACCTGTCAGTCGCTGGATAAAGTGCGCATACTGTATCCAGCTCCTGACAGGTTGTGATATTAACAATGCAGAATACCACTAGCTATAGAGGACTACAAACCCCAGCAATACATTATACAGCAATGCAGAATAATAGTCCGGGGGCACCTGTGGGCATGTGCTGGCAGCATGGTTCCCCGTGGAAGGCGGAGATGTGTGGCCGGTGCTGTAAGCAGCGCCGTGAAATCCCCAAAAGGCTGCTGTGAGGTCCCCAGCAAGTGCGGGACCTTATGGCAGCTGCTTCCATTTAAACATTTAAAGCGCCGCTATCGGCGCTTAGTAGGGGGACATTTTCCCGAGTAGTTGTGGAAATGCCCAGTATCTGCACCAATTCCCTATTCTGTTATCGGTGCCGATACTGGTAATGGGAGGTGAGCCTCTGCCTCATTGGTTTGGGATGGCATTTTTTGCCACCCTCCCTGGAGAGTGCCACCCAAGGCAAATACCTTGTTTATCTTGCGGCAGATACGCCCCTAATGGTATCCCTTACCCATTCCCACAAACAGTTAAATGTAAATGAAAACACACACAATGTGACAAAGCACTTTATTAAAAATACAAAAAATTTAAATTCAGGATCAGTCCCACCGTCCAACACTGTACTGATGTTGCGCCAAAGCTATGACAACCCACCACCCAATTATGTTGCCCTGACGCCCTACCCCCGCTAAATTACAGTCAACTCCACCTCCAATTTTCCCCACAGAAAACACTGGCTGCTGCTTGTAAACAAACCAGACAGGGATCCTGGGTGATGTCATTCACAAAATGGTCATGAGCATATTTGGTCATTGACGTTGCTTGGGATTCCCAGTTTGTTCAGTGATCCCCCAAAATGCAACCTAAAACGTTTCCCTATAAGAGAGTCAATATGTGAGGTACTGGAGGCAGTCCAGGGGAGCACCGGAGAGTGGTGGGAGGAGCAGTATAATGGTGCTGGATGGAGAAGCACACTTTTGCAAATATACTGTATATTTGTATCTTGAGTACCCTTCCCTTCCTCCAATCAGTAGCCCTCAGCTCTGGCTACTAACCCCAACATACCACTCTTCTCTTGTGCCCATGTCTGCACTTCTAGTACAACATGCTGGTTGACAGCACTGCTTGTAGTGAACATAACAGTGAAACGCTCATGTGGCTTCATGGGAGGCAAGCTTCTTTTCAGGTAAGCTCAACTATGAGAATGGAGAAGGCAGTAGGAACATTCAGGTCTTATTAACTGTTCCATGTACACCTGCTACAGGCATGATGGGGACCAAATTAAAGCCACTCAGTTGCTTCCCAAAAACTGTGCCCAAAAGGCTGCCTGTAAAAAAAAAAAGAGCATTAATACCCACCTAACCCAACATTAATTCCTCAGATCTTCCCTGTCTTGGGGAACTATAGAATCTGACAGAATCTTCACATCCAAAACTTCAAGGTATGTCAGATACCTGCATCAATCACTGCACGTTGTGGTTCAAGCTGTAGACCGCTATGTTACTACAGGACATGGCGAGCCGAATAGAACCACAGTGTGTGGTGCAGACTGCAGGCAATCGACACTCACAGAATTGTCAGATATGATGATTCTGCCAGAAGCCAAGAGCAAGGATCGGAGGAATGGATGGCAGGATAGGTGGGTATAGATACTCTTCTTTTAGAGGCAGGGCTGCCAATAGGGTGGTACAGCCAGCCATCCCGTACTGGGCCCGGGCCCTATCTTGTAAGTGGGTAGTGGAGCTCAGGCTCCTACCCCGCAGCTATCACATAGCTGCAGACTGTAACGTATCTGTGGTACTCACACATCCAGCACAACCAGGGACAGCTATAGGGGGATCAGGCAATGTGTGTAACTCAGGGGCCTGGCAGAGGCACCCTGTCGGTAGCTGGATTGGGGTGTCCACAGCTCAGTTCAGGAACTGTTATGTGCACCGCTTCTCCCTCTCCTTTGGTATTCCTGGAATGTGCACCGATTCCCACAAGATGTAGGTCTCAGTGCACACAGACAGTGACAGAACCATCACCCTCTGTACACACTGAGGCTGGGGTTCACTACACACACCACACATAGATGGTCTCCACCGTCTGGTCTCCTCCAGGGTGAGTAACAGCTGCAAAATTGGTTGACTGCTCAAGACGATGATGCCACCTTCCCTTCCAGTACTGACTTGTACCCATTTCAGGTGAGGACACTGCAAATAGGGGCCC